GGGGTGTGTGTTACTGTAGAAAACTTTGTATATCAAGCTTAAAGCGATGATTGTACGTGCAGCATAAGGGAACCCCTTCATGGTTTTGCAGATCTGGTATGCCCCCATTGCCTTTATTTTCTTTTATTAGGATCAGTTGAAAGTTGTTGTAGAGTTGAATTGAAATGTTAAAGGTAAGTTCGGCAAGGTTTGCATGCCCTACCTTGTGACGCACAGGTTTACCGGGGAATTGAAGAAAGCAAACTAGGCAGTGTGTGGCCTCCTATTAGTACCGGCCAATGAAGTGACAATGCTGAAGCAGCACTGTCCTGTTCAGATCAGTATCATAACTATGGTCCTGTGGATTGGGAAGAAGTTTATTGTCTTCAATTATTTCTCCTCCAAAGCCCAAATGTATTCAAGTTCTGTCCTCTTTAGAACAAGCATCTGTGAAACTCACTGTGTCATGTGCAAATTTATATGAAGGATAAGGATCCGCTACTGCTGTTATTCCGCCAATGAAGTGGAATTAAGACTCCAGCCCACTAGAAAATACTCTTTCCATATACTTATTTAGGTTTAACTGACACACGTTACATGTAGTATCGAGAGCGAAACTCTTCTACTACTTGAGTGTTTCTATGTTGAGCATTCCCATGTATCTAAACACTGTGGTATCTGGTTTTCTTCAGCTATGCTTTGAAAGAGTTCTCATTTGAATCAGAAATGGAAGCAGGCAACTTGATCTTCTGGCACTGTCCTTATCGTTTCTTGTCAGACTACTATTTAACCACTGTTGCCTCACAAAGATGTTTTCCACCGATAAGTAACTTGTGTTGTTATTGAGATAATTAATTATCAATGCATTGAGGATAGAACACATTAGAACAATATCTATCCAAATTAACAGTGTTCATGCAGGTGATCATCAAGAGGAAAATAATGCCTAATAAGGCTTGCTGTGGTTACCTGTAGCATAAATCCATATCAATAAAAATCAAATCAGGTTATAATTGTCAAGGTTTATTACACATTAAGAGCAGGTTACGTTGAGAGAAATACCCAATAGTTTACCTGATACTTTGAACTATTGCACTTAGACAAGTTGAGTGAGATTTATTACATCTATCTGTAGATACCAACATTGCAAACTGAATTTGTCGTCGTATGCTTCCTTTACAGACTATGCTCTCACCTTTAGAGAGCTTTTTATCTAATCTATTTTAGGTACCTCTTTTAGGATATGGGTAGTTGCCTGACAAGTGCAAAATCACTTCCACTGAGTGTTAAGGCAAGCCTCTACTCACATGTCAAAGTCCATATTTACTTAGATGAGTCCCTCTCAGCTATTAAAAAACCCCAGCAAATTGCAGCCCAATTTTAAGATTTGAATTCAACTTGCAGATTATAATTATTCTTTTTATTACAGTGGTGATAACCTCAGTAGGGATTACACAAATACTTGCGAGATAATGTTGTTCCAAATAGATTACTGTGATCTCCAGTTTGATAACCTCTCCCATAGTTACGGAAAATACTTGCTTAATGATACAGCAAAATCCCAACAAAACTAAAACATTATTTTGAATACTACCTCTCAGTAACTATTTAAATTATCTTGCACATATTTAAAAAACTTTTGAAAAACAGTATTATTAATGCTGCACAGTCAAGCATTCAGAAGCTAAAAAATGATACCGGTAAGGTCATCTGTGAAACTTTAGTCTGGCCCTCTCAAACACAAATACCTAATTACAGAAGATTTTTCCCCCATCTCACTTGTAAGGATGAACAATGCTCATATGAATGAGCAGCACTTTATTACTTTTCTTATGGCCGGAGAAGATCTTAAGTCTAATCTAGAATTTGTACTCAATTCAGAATTACACATTTTCCTACTGGTTCTTCTGCAATATTACAGGTGGGTCTGATTACTTCAGAAACTACTGCTTACCTCCACAGCTGCCCACCTTATGAGAGGACTAGAATGAATGGGGTTTTATGCATGGAGAACTGAAGACCAGGGAGATTAACAATCAGAAATATTAACTAGTTTTGAGCACTCAGTCCGAAATGCTTCAGGACTGTCCAGAAACATGTAGTACTACATAATTTCATATATATTTAAGTACGGTTTTACACAAACCTCATTTGAAACAGCGGACTCAGCATTTCTGAGTCAGAGTCAAGAGAATCACCTTTAATATTTTACCTGATTGTTCTGGTTTTGACTGAGGTAGAGTTAGTTTCTCTTTTCAGCAGCTAGAAGAGCTCTGTTTTGGTTTTATTCCAACCCTAACCGTTCTATGATTCTATGATTTGTTATGAGAAGAATGTTGATAGCACACTGATATTTATAGTTGGCACTGAGACCTCAAGGACTTTTCAGCTTGCCGTGTTTTTGTCAGTGTGCAGAATAACAGGCTGGGGCGAGCACGGCTCAGACAAAGGGTCCACAACTCCCCTTATGATTTGAACTTAGATTTAGGATTGAGGGCTAAATTGGCCAATGGAGTATTCCGTATTATGCAACGTCATGCACAATATATAGATGAGGGTGGACCAGG